AGCTACTGAATGAAAACAGAGAAAATATACACCCCCAAAACGTTTATCTATAAACATATAGTAACAAATTGTCCCCATCTAGTGAAGAAAAAATATCTAACAACAATAACGAACAACAAATTAGTGCATTTTCCTCAACTGACGTCAAATTACAAACATGTCGGACCACAAAATATCAACCCAAAACTCTCTTTTCAACTTATATGGAGTACAAATACTTTAATTTTTCATTTATTTCAAAGCCATTATTTTTTCTCCTAACAAAAAATTAATCAGTTTATCAAATTATGGAACTCACGAGGTCTTCATTGTAAATTTTAATTTGGCGGTAGAAAATCGATCAGGCCATGATAAAATCAATGCTGAGACAATAAGCTGAAATAATGTCCACTCTGAAATTATGTTGGCAGAATCATCACAACTAAAGAAGTGGTCTCGCACGTCTTCAGTGCACGCTGAATCCCACCGTAGTTTCAGCTTAAGTAGTTCCGTTCAAAAGAGAAGAACTGGAAGATGGCAAATAATTAAAAAAATGGATAGTATAGATATTCTCTATTTCTTCTTGCAGAATGCATATAAGTTCTTGAAGTAGGCGTAGGTTTAAACCACCAGCCAGAATACTTCCAAATATAATCATAGACAGCGAATCAACTTACTACGTTATCTAAAGTGAACAACAGTAATAAAACTAAACCACAATAATTGATTTTTATTACCAATATGGACTATGAAAGTTTGTAATCATCACATGTTGTTATACCAAAAAAATGTTTGAACGGCGCCGAGAAGTGTTTTTTCCTACACTTATTAATTCTTATAAAATAATTGTGATTCGGTTAAATCATTATCTGCGAGTTATACATCATTTCAGTCACCCTTTGAACTCTCTGAGTCGCGCAGAACATTTTTGCCATTCCACTTTACATAGACTTACAAACGTGGTTGAATGCGATTGACAAAGAGCGTGAATTTCCAAAATTGAAAAAATTATTGCGATAAAATTCTTGGCTATAAAAACAAAGTCGTCTTGGCTGTACCTAAAAAAAACCACTCCACGGATGACCAAGAAAAAGAAATTGACGAAGATCACTTCTAGAACGTTGCGTGCAACTGCTGTTCGAAATTGAATCCCCGTGTCAGTCGTGGAGAGCTTGTTTTCAGCCCATTGCCATATAGACAACATGAGACTGAAACATGCGACTCCTATCATCACTCTACCAAATACTGGAGGTATTGCAAGGCTTTTGTTTAATTCCGAGGTTAATATACCTGTGGTGTTGAGTGTGAAGCTTGGTAGAGTCCCCTTAAGGGTTTTGTTTAATGTGGCTATAACATCTGCAGGTAGGCTCTGAGCTTCATTCGCACGTCCTATGTCATCCAAAACAATGTCAATCATGTCAATAACATCGAACAGATCGATGGCCATTTGAAAAGACAGCTTGAACACTAAATCTTTGCGTTCTTGAGATCGATCCAGGTCATCTGCATTGTGTAGCAACAGTAATAACAGAGGAGGCGTGAGGCATAGAATTCCCTTTAAGAGACCCAAGCTCGGGAACTTCTTGGTGCCAAGTTTGTCTCCAACCAATCCAAAAATGATCCCGATATTCACTATCAAAGCAGCAATGTAGAGACTCCAGACTAATAACAGCCAACGAAGTGTGGCTTTCTGCAAACATAACAGCAAAGACCACGCACCAAGTGCTGGGAGGAAAACTGTTAATAAACTGTACCATTTAGAATTTTCATACTCGCCAGGATAGAAAGCGAGGAAAATTGCTTGAATTACCAAGATAACGCCAAATGCAATCCGTCCTGTGTTCTTCAGTGTCAATTCAAACGGACAACGAGCCATAATCAGCGAGATCGAAGGGCCAGGAGGTTTGTAAGCAAAAAGTTCTGACTGCTATAAATATAAAGCTGACCTTTTAAATCTGAAAAGTTTTGTAGCGAATCAGAAAGCGCCACATCCTTTTCCGTCATGCAAAAACAGCTCATAAGGGACTTTCCCGTATCGGTTAATCAGCCTTGAAGCTTTTCCCAGAAAACAGGAAGTGGTTGTTTTCATTTCCGGGAATTATCTTAATTGACATCAAAGTTTTATAAGTTTGTCATATTCAAGGTTACTCTGACAGTCAACACTGGAATCATTTGCAATTGTTCTTGCAACTAAGGCCAACATCATGTGTGATGAAGTAACTTAAATTTCTTTTCTTCGCAAATATTCACGAATTATATTGTTGCCTCACATCGCACCCCGTGACATACACATAATCTCGTGCGGCCTTTCTCGGGAAAGCTCTCTCCGTTTTCTTACGTTTACCAGCATTCCAAATTGGGCAAAGGAGTCTCACTTCAGTACAAGA